ATGGGCCGCGCCTGGCAGGCGCTGCGGGCACTGCGCCTGCGGCTCCTGGGGCCGGGGAAGGAGCTGGTGGGCACCGACCAGTTCGGCAACAAGTACTACCGCGTGCCTCAGCACCAGACCGGCGCAGGTAGGCACGGGGCCACCCCTCGGGTTGCCTCGCCGGGACCCGGATCGAGCGCTGTGGCGCAGCCCGCGGCAGCGCGAGTGGCGCGGCGTCCGGGGCGGGGGCTGCAGGGAACGCCGCCCCGCGCTGAGGGCGCCGCCCCGGGCGGCGGAGGGCAGAGTGACGCCTCCCGCCCTCGTCGCGGGTCGCGGAGCGGTCGCGAGGGCGGAAAGCGGGCGGCTTTGGAGGGGCGGCGGGCGGCTGCGGGCCGTGGCTCGGTTTGAAGAGCGCCGAGTTTCGGTTTGAGGAACCTCGGTGTGCTTGCGCTGCGTCCTCACGTCGTGCTGCGCGGGCGCTGCTCGGCGCCGCGTCATTTAACGAAAGAGGCGTGTCTGAAGGTGCGTGAGTGCACGTGCTGCAGTGCGTACAGCCACTGTACCTCTCTCCCTGTACGGCCTTTCTTGCCCGCTTGCTGTACGAGGTGTGTTACATGGCTGCTCCCCGTGCAGACCTGTGCCCCGTGGTGCGGTGGATCAGAAGCGTAAGGTGTGAGGCTGCAGCCCTGCAGGTCGGCGCCCTTCCTGCAGTGCGAGGGCAGGCACGCGTCTCCCCTTCTGACACGAATCATGTTTCCTGCAATTCTGCATCCTGGCAGTTCCCTGACTGGTTTTGTTGCATGCTTTTTGAAGGCCTGGAAGTGATATTGAATACATCTGCTGGACTAGCGTCTGGAAGAGTGATAGGAGTGTGTCTTTGTCCACTGTGTGTAGTTCTTGTGGCTTACTATGACAATGGGACAATTCCAAGCTTTCTCTGCTTTTCTTTCAGCTTCTCTCCGTTGCAGCTCATGGTGACTTTGAGAGGTGTACAAAAGGATTGTAAGGGAAATGGTCTGTATTCTGGACAAATTTGTATTCCAGTTCAGAGGGCTTCATAGAGCAGAGTTCACAGACTGAAAACTTCTCTTACTCATGTAATCTTCAGTTGTTAGGCTGGGTGGAAAAAGGAGTCGAAACAGCAGCCACAAGAGTCAGAGGAGTAGATACAGTGCAATGCTCTGTGTCTGTGCTTGCTTATCAGTCGAAGCATAGATGCCTTGCATTCCAATATAGCGATAATTGAAAACCAGTGAATTTCAGATTTAATGAGATGTGGGGAAGAAATATTTCAGATGATGACAGTGCCAAGTAATGAACAGATATCCTTAAAGAGGTTCGTGGTTTCAGACACAGATGAATAGCTGCTTTTTCTCAAGACCCAGACCTGGGGCTTGCCTTTGTTTCAGACTGGCAGAGGGATTCTAGCTTCAGCTGGGGGCAAGAATAGAGTATGCAAACAATATCTTGTGTCTTCATGTGTTTTAAGCAAAAGCTGTCTGCCAGCTTTCTTATGGTCTGTGCTGATCTTTGATGGAGGTTAGAATAGAATTGCATGGAGCTTGTGATGCAAATAATTGATGTCCTGTATCTTTCAGTTGTCGTTTTCTTTACTCAGTCCTGGTTCTCCAGCTCCCTTGATTGCTGGGGCCTTGTCTACCTTAGTAAGGAGTGAAACAGGCAGATCAATGGATCTGTGTGGTCAATTTCAAGTTTTCCTCAAGTTTTTCAACATGTGATTCAGAGAGTTTACTTACAACATTCTGTCTGCTTCTCAGAACTAAATGTCTGCAGTATGTCTAGTTCGAAGTTTGCAAGGGGAAGGAGGGAGGAGAGGGAAGAAGTGCAAATGACGTGCACTTGGCCACCATACTGTCTTGGCACCCAGTATCTTGTTAGGTTTTGAAATGTTTCAAAATGAGGATTCCATCTTTAAAATAAACAAATGGCAAAACAAACCAACAGACAAAACAAACAAACAAACCTGACCAAATCAAAGCAACAATTTGTATACACAAACTACTTTGAGATCCAAATCGGCACGTGATAAGTAGATAAGTAGAGTCAACTGCCTTGAATCAAATCACACTGTTGGTGTAGTCTCAGAAGTATCCTAGATCTGGGATGTGTCAGTCAAAATCAGAATGTGGTCAGCTTACATGGAGCCAACCTCTACTGGTTTCCAGTCAAATGTCTTGCACTCCTAATTTTGACAGTATTTGAATTCTTAGGTTATTATATTATTTTTAGCAACTTGAATGTATTTGTAGTATAGGGAATCACTGTGGTTTCCAGCCTTCAGTGGCATGCAAAGGTTCTAATTTTAGCAGCTATTTGCATTATTTTGCAAAGGTCTGGAAGTAATGGCAAAAATATGTGCATGAAGAGTTTCTCCTGAGTGAACAGAGAAACACTTGACAATTTGGAATGGAAAGCAAGGAAGATGTAAGACTGAGCAGTTCTGAGGGTGCTTGTATTAATTCCAATGAAAGAGACAAGTGTCAAAAATTCCTAAAATGGAAGAATGAGGAGTTAGTAGATTGAGTAGGAGAAGGCAATGCTAGAAATAGAAAAGAAGTTGAGAAAAAATTATGAGCTTCGGTACAGGGGAAGGACTCTGAGGGAATGGTTCTGCCCACAGAAGTACAAAATAATTAGTGAGATTTAGGGTAGTTAATTTTCTTGAAGTATGGAAATTCAGATGCAGGAGAACTGAAGGCACGTTGTGTGATATTTATCAGAGAAGAAAATCACCTTCAGAGAAAAGTCAGACCTTTGACACTTAAATAACGTAGGGTCATTTGTAGAAAAGGTGACTCTATTTAATAACATTATGCAAGTGTTTTTTTTTTCCTACAGGATTAGTTGTAAGTGATGAAAATGGTTAAATATTACAACTGCTTTTTGCTTGTCATGAGACAAACATTCAGCATAGCTCATTAAATCTGAGATAACTCTTCAGTTGCAAGTCTTCAGTTGGGTGTGATAGAAGATGGGAGTGGATGGATGGGTAGTAGAGATTAATGGCTCATTTCAGTATCACAGACAAGCATTTTTCTAAACAGCCTAGATTTATCAATGTAGTTTTTCTAACTGTATATCTGGCTACAGAATCTTGAACATTTTAGGTCAGTTTTGTACTTCTTGTCTTTTCTAAAGACTTATTCAGACAACTTACATTTAAACACATTTCCTTAATTTGTACTGTCATTTATTAAAAAGACTCATAGTTGAAATGAGCAATCCCATGAAATACTGGCGTGTAGGAGTTAGAAGAGTCATTTAGCAACAAGAGATGAGTTTAAATGCTTAAAGCATTTCTCTGTATGAAACAACTGACCAAGGTTAGACTCAGCTTGGTGTTGTAGCTTACCAGGAGTAGCAGGAAGAAGACATGAAATGTTCTATATCTAAGTCTGTATATGTTACATAAACTTTGCATTAAGGGACATGTATTGTCTGAGCCTGTGATATGATCTGAGCTTTAAGATGAAATCTGGTATGTAAGACTCATTTCCCAGTATTCTTGTCAGTACTGTGAGGCAGAAGTGGCAAAGTTTCTGTGGGAAACCTTTTCATGTGGAATACCTGCTTACGTTCACATAAAAAATCTTTATGTGGGGTATAGTTTATTATGAAAAGCCAGAAATGTGCAAATAAAAATCTGTTTAAGAAGATTGTAATTACTCAATTACAGGAAGTGTGTAGCCTGTCTTGACTTTAATAGAAACATATACATTTTTTAATGAATAAAAAATATAATTCCATAGGGATTAGAGGAATTTTGATTGATCTGTTTTATGTAGTCTGTTACCTTCCTGTGCATCAGAAGTGTAGAGCAGAATTTCTACTGTCTTTCAAAATTTGCTGCAAAATGCCATGATATATAAAATAGGATTTGCTGAAGACTAGATTGAAGCATTCTTGTAATGTTTTATGGAAGGAAAACATCTCCTCTCTAAAGCTGATCTTCCGAGGTTAAAGCTAACACTTTCCATTTGATATTTACCTTTCTTGTGAACAAAAGTGAAACCCAAGGAAGAAGCAGAAACAGATCCTGATGGTAAGAAGCATGTGTAAAGTGGTTATAAAGCATTGTAGATAACTGTACAGATTATTGGTGCACATTAAAAAAAAAAAATTCAAACTGGGCTTTTTAAGCATTGGTGGAAAGGTTATATATGTTTTAGTTGGAGACATCTAATTTTCAGGTAAAGAAACTCAGCATTCGAATTTGGATCAATGACTTTGTTACCAAATGTTGAGGGAATTAATTATTTAGAATATTAAAATAAAAGCACTGAGAAAGTGATTTCTCCTGTGGGAGTTTTTATCACAACATCCAGTAATAGCTGAAAAGGTTCAGTTTGTCCAGATGGTGGCAACATAGTTTCAGAAACAACTTATAATCAGAACTCATGAAATAGAGCTTTCCTTTGAGACTACCTAAGGGAAGCCGAGTTCTAAAATAACTGTATGTTTATGTGTACAGAAATTAAACTTGCATTGCAGACTACCAGCTTTGAGGAAAATAATTCTGGAATGACAAAACAGCTTTTCAGTATGTCTGGTATGTTATGTAGCAAAGCAGTTACACTGCGAAGAGCTTATTGCAGATTATAAAAACATTAATATTTGAAAAACAGTGTTTGGGTGCAGCGATATGTTTTTTTCCTTCAGCTGCCAGCAGTGAGTTGACAACATGCATGGTATGTTCAGCTCACCAACTTTAAAACACAAATAGCAATAAGTAATAATATGTATGTGCACTAACTTTCTTGTTGTGTGTTGCCATGCCTGGCTATAATCTTTGGTGCATGCACTGATGTATACAAAGATGCTGACCATGCTGATTTTGCCTACCAGTGTTAAGTTTCATATGCTGGACATTTGTTACTTTTAATTATTCAGGCTTTGATGTGAGAGCCTGTATTCACTCATGCTCTGTGCATGTTATTATTTTTGTCTGTTCTTGTTTTTTTTGTTTTTTTTGTTTTTTTAGTTTTAATGTCTGGTGGCCAAAGACAAGAAATGAACACAAGGGAAGTTAAAATATATTTCTACTAACTTTTTCTGTTTCTTTTTGTGTATGTAAAAATATTTTCAATAGCTGATACAATCTGAGATGGTTTTAACAATCACATTGTC